GAGAGAGAGAGAGGACAGTGGATAGAGTCAGAAACCAGAGAGAGAGAGGACAGTGGATAGAGTCAGAAACCAGAGAGAGAGAGAGGACAGTGGATAGAGTCTGAAACCAGAGAGAGAGAGGACAGTGGATAGAGTCAGAAACCAGAGAGAGAGAGGACAGTGGATAGAGTCAGAAACCAGAGAGAGAGAGAGACAGTGGATAGAGTCAGAAACCAGAGAGAGAGAGGACAGTGGATAGAGTCAGAAACCAGAGAGAGAGAGGACAGTGGATAGAGTCAGAAACCAGAGAGAGAGAGAGGACAGTGGATAGAGTCTGAAACCAGAGAGAGAGAGAGGACAGTGGATAGAGTCAGAAACCAGAGAGAGAGAAGGACAGTGGATAGAGTCAGAAACCAGAGAGAGAGAGGACAGTGGATAGAGTCTGAAACCAGAGAGAGAGAGGACAGTGGATAGAGTCAGAAACCAGAGAGAGAGAGGACAGTGGATAGAGTCAGAAACCAGAGAGAGAGAGGACAGTGGATAGAGTCAGAAACCAGAGAGAGAGAGAGGACAGTGGATAGAGTCAGAAACCAGAGAGAGAGAGAGGACAGTGGATAGAGTCAGAAACCAGAGAGAGAGAGAGAGACAGTGGATAGAGTCAAACCAGAGAGAGAGAGACAGTGGATAGAGTCAGAAACGAGAGAGAGAGAGAGGACAGTGGATAGAGTCTGAAACCAGAGAGAGAGAGGACAGTGGATAGAGTCAGAAACCAGAGAGAGAGAGAGAGGACAGTGGATAGAGTCAGAAACCAGAGAGAGAGAGGACAGTGGATAGAGTCTGAAACCAGAGAGAGAGAGAGGACAGTGGATAGAGTCTGAAACCAGAGAGAGAGGAGGACAGTGGATAGAGTCTGAAACCAGAGGAGAGAGAGGACAGTGGATAGAGTCAGAAACCAGAGAGAGAGAGGACAGTGGATAGAGTCTGAAACCAGAGAGAGAGAGAGGACAGTGGATAGAGTCTGAAACCAGAGAGAGAGAGGACAGTGGATAGAGTCTGAAACCAGAGAGAGAGAGGACAGTGGATAGAGTCTGAAACCAGAGAGAGAGAGAGGACAGTGGATAGAGTCTGAAACCAGAGAGAGAGAGACAGTGGATAGAGTCTGAAACCAGAGAGAGAGAGGACAGTGGATAGAGTCTGAAACCAGAGAGAGAGAGACAGTGGATAGAGTCGAAACCAGAGAGAGAGAGGACAGTGGATAGAGTCAGAAACCAGAGAGAGAGAGACAGTGGATAGAGTCAGAAACCAGAGAGAGAGAGAGAGGACAGTGGATAGAGTCTGAAACCAGAGAGAGAGAGAGACAGTGGATAGAGTCTGAAACCAGAGAGAGAGAGGACAGTGGATAGAGTCAAACCAGAGAGAGAGAGAGAGACAGTGGATAGAGTCAGAAACCAGAGAGAGAGAGAGAGACAGTGGATAGAGTCTGAAACCAGAGAGAGAGAGAGACAGTGGATAGAGTCTGAAACCAGAGAGAGAGAGAGGACAGTGGATAGAGTCTGAAACCAGAGAGAGAGAGAGGACAGTGGATAGAGTCTGAAACCAGAGAGAGAGAGGACAGTGGATAGAGTCTGAAACCAGAGAGAGAGAGAGGACAGTGGATAGAGTCGAAACCAGAGAGAGAGAGGACAGTGGATAGAGTCAGAAACCAGAGAGAGAGAGGACAGTGGATAGAGTCAGAAACCAGAGAGAGAGAGGACAGTGGATAGAGTCAGAAACCAGAGAGAGAGAGAGAGGACAGTGGATAGAGTCTGAAACCAGAGAGAGAGAGGACAGTGGATAGAGTCTGAAACCAGAGAGAGAGAGAGAGACAGTGGATAGAGTCAGAAACCAGAGAGAGAGAGAGACAGTGGATAGAGTCGAAACCAGAGAGAGAGAGAGGACAGTGGATAGAGTCTGAAACCAGAGAGAGAGAGGACAGTGGATAGAGTCTGAAACCAGAGAGAGAGAGGACAGTGGATAGAGTCTGAAACCAGAGAGAGAGAGAGAGAGCAGTGGATAGAGTCTGAAACCAGAGAGAGAGAGAGGACAGTGGATAGAGTCTGAAACCAGAGAGAGAGAGGACAGTGGATAGAGTCTGAAACCAGAGAGAGAGAGAGAGACAGTGGATAGAGTCTGAAACCAGAGAGAGAGAGAGAGCAGTGGATAGAGTCTGAAACCAGAGAGAGAGAGAGACAGTGGATAGAGTCTGAAACCAGAGAGAGAGAGAGAGACAGTGGATAGAGTCTGAAACCAGAGAGAGAGAGAGACAGTGGATAGAGTCTGAAACCAGAGAGAGAGAGAGAGACAGTGGATAGAGTCTGAAACCAGAGAGAGAGAGAGAACAGTGGATAGAGTCAGAAACCAGAGAGAGAGAGGACAGTGGATAGAGTCTGAAACCAGAGAGAGAGAGAGAGGACAGTGGATAGAGTCTGAAACCAGAGAGAGAGAGAGGACAGTGGATAGAGTCTGAAACCAGAGAGAGAGAGGACAGTGGATAGAGTCAGAAACCAGGAGAGAGAGACAGTGGATAGAGTCAGAAACCAGAGAGAGAGGACAGTGGATAGAGTCAGAAACCAGAGAGAGAGAGGACAGTGGATAGAGTCTGAAACCAGAGAGAGAGAGACAGTGGATAGAGTCAGAAACCAGAGAGAGAGAGACAGTGGATAGAGTCTGAAACCAGGGAGAGAGAGGACAGTGGATAGAGTCAGAAACCAGAGAGAGAGAGAGGACAGTGGATAGAGTCTGAAACCAGAGAGAGAGAGGACAGTGGATAGAGTCTGAAACCAGAGAGAGAGAGAGGACAGTGGATAGAGTCTGAAACCAGAGAGAGAGAGGACAGTGGATAGAGTCTGAAACCAGAGAGAGAGAGAGACAGTGGATAGAGTCAGAAACCAGAGAGAGAGAGGACAGTGGATAGAGTCAGAAACCAGAGAGAGAGAGAGACAGTGGATAGAGTCTGAAACCAGAGAGAGAGAGAGGACAGTGGATAGAGTCAGAAACCAGAGAGAGAGAGAGGACAGTGGATAGAGTCTGAAACCAGAGAGAGAGAGGACAGTGGATAGAGTCAGAAACCAGAGAGAGAGAGGACAGTGGATAGAGTCAGAAACCAGAGAGAGAGAGGACAGTGGATAGAGTCAGAAACCAGAGAGAGAGAGAGGACAGTGGATAGAGTCAGAAACCAGAGAGAGAGAGAGGACAGTGGATAGAGTCAGAAACCAGAGAGAGAGAGAGAGGACAGTGGATAGAGTCTGAAACAGAGAGAGAGAGAGGACAGTGGATAGAGTCTGAAACCAGAGAGAGAGAGAGAGAGAGTGGATAGAGTCTGAAACCAGAGAGAGAGAGGACAGTGGATAGAGTCTGAAACCAGAGAGAGAGAGGACAGTGGATAGAGTCTGAAACCAGAGAGAGAGAGAGAGAGAGTGGATAGAGTCTGAAACCAGAGAGAGAGAGGACAGTGGATAGAGTCTGAAACCAGAGAGAGAGAGAGGACAGTGGATAGAGTCTGAAACCAGAGAGAGAGAGGACAGTGGATAGAGTCTGAAACCAGAGAGAGAGAGGACAGTGGATAGAGTCTGAAACCAGAGAGAGAGAGGACAGTGGATAGAGTCTGAAACCAGAGAGAGAGAGGACAGTGGATAGAGTCTGAAACCAGAGAGAGAGAGGACAGTGGATAGAGTCTGAAACCAGAGAGAGAGAGGACAGTGGATAGAGTCAGAAACCAGAGAGAGAGAGGACAGTGGATAGAGTCAGAAACCAGGGAGAGAGAGGACAGTGGATAGAGTCAGAAACCAGAGGAGAGAGAGGACAGTGGATAGAGTCAGAAACCAGAGAGAGAGAGGACAGTGGATAGAGTCAGAAACCAGAGAGAGAGAGGACAGTGGATAGAGTCTGAAACCAGAGAGAGAGAGGACAGTGGATAGAGTCAGAAACCAGAGAGAGAGAGAGGACAGTGGATAGAGTCAGAAACCAGAGAGAGAGAGAGGACAGTGGATAGAGTCAGAAACCAGAGAGAGAGAGAGGACAGTGGATAGAGTCAGAAACCAGAGAGAGAGAGAGGACAGTGGATAGAGTCAGAAACCAGAGAGAGAGAGAGGACAGTGGATAGAGTCTGAAACCAGAGAGAGAGAGAGGACAGTGGATAGAGTCTGAAACCAGAGAGAGAGAGGACAGTGGATAGAGTCTGAAACCAGAGAGAGAGAGGACAGTGGATAGAGTCTGAAACCAGAGAGAGAGAGGACAGTGGATAGAGTCAGAAACCAGAGAGAGAGAGGACAGTGGATAGAGTCAGAAACCAGAGAGAGAGAGGACAGTGGATAGAGTCTGAAACCAGAGAGAGAGAGGACAGTGGATAGAGTCTGAAACCAGGGAGAGAGAGAGACAGTGGATAGAGTCTGAAACCAGAGAGAGAGAGAGGACAGTGGATAGAGTCTGAAACCAGGGAGAGAGAGAGAGAGGACAGTGGATAGAGTCTGAAACCAGAGAGAGAGAGAGAGACAGTGGATAGAGTCTGAAACCAGAGAGAGAGAGAGGACAGTGGATAGAGTCAGAAACCAGGGAGAGAGAGGACAGTGGATAGAGTCAGAAACCAGGGAGAGAGGAGAGGACAGTGGATAGAGTCAGAAACCAGGGAGAGAGAGAGTAGGGAATGACATGTGGAAAGGGGTCACGGGTGGAGGCGAACCCGGGCCTACTGCTCGAGACGAGACTCTCAATACATGGGACGCGCCCTGACCATTGCGCCACCAGCGCGCCCCCCAAGGAGACGAGAGTTAACACGCTGCATCCTGAAGAGTCGTCATGGCAACCAGGATGTATCAAAGTCATACACAGCAGCAGGCGTACTGTTTTTAGTATACTGAGTGTGTCTGTGTGTATATGTGTGTGTGTGTGTGTGTGTGTGTGTGTGTGTGTGTGTGTGTGTGTGTGTGTGTGTGTCTGTATTTGTGTGTGTGCGTGTGTGTGTGTGCGTGTGTGTCTGTGTGTGTGTGTGTCTGTGTGGTGTGTGTGTCTGTGTGTGTGTCTGTGTGTGTGTGTGTATATACTGGGTTTCAGTACCTTGTGGGGACATGAGCAGGTTGACGCTCTCCAACACGTCCAGAAACAACTCGTTGCGTCTGTACTTGATTCCCTCTCTCCTCCAGCCGATCTGACCCGTCACCTGACTGGTGATCTGAGCCTGCTCCTCTTTACTCTGTGGGGGGGATGACTCAGTCACTGTCACAGTGTGTGTGTGTGTGTGTGTGTGTGTGTGTGTGTGTGTGTGTGTGTGTGTGTGTGTGTGTGTGTGTGTGTGTGTGTGTGTGTGTGTGTGTGTGTGTGTGTACTCACATGGTGCTGCAGGGAGATAAACAGGAAACATTTTAATAAACAGGACAAACATTCTTCTTCTTCTTTTGTTACATTATGAGCTACACTTCCTGTGATGTTTCAAAATAAAAGCACATTCCTGTGTGTTAGTGAGTTTGGTGTTGTACCTGACTCTTGATGCCCTGCTGAGTGATGAAGGTCTTCAGAGCGCCGGTCTCTGAGTTCTGAGGGTACCCAAAGTCCAGAATCTCTGCAGGACACACACACACCGTTCTGACACTGTTACCTCCTACATTAGCAAATGCACTGCTGATGTCACACCACCAGAACCATCACCACCCGGGCTAACCAGAAGCCATGGCTGACAGGAGAGGTACGTGGGCTACTGAGGGCCAGGAACACCGCCTTCAGAGCTGGGGACGCAGCCTGCCTGAGAACAGCGAGGGCCGACCTGTCCCGTAGCATCAGGGAAGCCAAACGCAGCTACACACTAAAAATAACCGGACACTTAAAGGACAGCAGAGACGCGCGGAGCCTGTGGCGTGGTATCCAGACCATCACGGACTACAAACCCAAGCCACAGACCTGTGACAGCAACACCTCTCTGCTGAACGACCTCAACAGCTTCTTTGCCAGGTTTGAAGCACACAACAGCACGCCCCCACAGAAGACCCCCCCCCCCCCCCCCCCTCCCAACGACCAGACCCTGTGCCTGACTGCAGCCAGCGTGAAGAGAACCTTCTCCAAGATCAACACCCGCAAGGCTGCAGGTCCAGACAACATTCCTGGCCGTGTGCTGAAGGACTGTGCAGAGGAGCTCAAAGATGTCTTCAAAGATATTTTCAACGCTTCTCTGAGTCAGGCTGAGTCCATCGTGCTTCCCATTGCAAAACATTCTTTGTACGAACAGAATCGACATCTCAACAAAAAGTTTCTCAGATGCACAAGTATGTCAAATTTCACATTCCACTGTATGTCTGGCATATTTTGAAATTTACAATAAAGTTGACTTTGACTTTTGACAACAAACACACACACACACACACACACAAAAGCAAAGACACAAACAGAGGTGCTAATCGGTGACTCCCGTCAGCGCTGTATTTTCTTTAGGTTTCGATTTTCTCTTATCTTACAAAAATCAAAACCTAAAAAAACTAAAGAGCGGCGGCTTCAGCAGGAGAGACCACTTCCTGTTAGAGGACAGAGAGTCAAGAACACACACAGAGGAGCTGCCTGCACACACACACACACACACACACACACTCTCTGTGTATCTGTGTCTGTGTGTGTGTGTGTCTGTGTGTGTGTGTGTGTGTGTGTGTGTCTGTGTGTGTGTGTGTGTGTGTGTGGTGTCTGTGTGTGTGTGTGTGTCTGTGTGTGTGTGTGTGTGTGTGTGTGTGTGTGTGTGTGTGTTGTGTCTGTGTGTGTGTGTGTGTGTGTGTGTGTGTGTCTGTGTCTGTGTGTCTGTGTGTGTGTGTGTGTGTGTGTGTGTCTGTGTGTGTGTGTGTGTGTGTGTGTCTGTTTGTTGTGTGTGTGTGTCTGTGTCTGTGTGTGTGTGTGTGTGTCTGTGTGTGTGTGTGTGTGTGTGTCTGTGTCTGTGTGTGTGTGTCTGTGTGTGTGTGTGTGTGTGTCTGTGTCTGTGTGTGTGTGTGTGTGTCTGTGTCTGTGTGTGTGTGTGTGTGTCTGTGTGTGTGTCTGTGTGTGTGTGTCTGTGTGTGTGTGTGTGTGTGTGTGTGTGTGTGTGTGTGTGTCTGTGTGTGTGTCTGTGTGTGTGTGTCTGTGTGTGTCTGTGTGTGTGTGTGTGTGTGTGTGTCTGTGTGTGTGTGTGTGTGTGTGTGTGTGTGTGTGTGTGTGTGTGTGTGTGTGTGTGTGTCTGTGTGTGTGTCTGTGTGTGTGTGTGTGTGTGTGTCTGTGTCTGTGTGTCTGTGTCTGTGTCTGTGTCTGTGTGTCTGTGTCTGTGTGTGTGTGTGTGTCTGTGTGTGTGTGTGTGTGTCTGTGTCTGTGTGTGTGTGTGTCTGTGTCTGTGTGTGTGTGTGTGTGTCTGTGTCTGTGTGTCTGTGTGTGTGTGTGTGGTGTGTGTCTGTGTCTGTGTGTGTGTGTGTGTGTCTGTGTCTGTGTGTGTGTGTGTGTGTGTGTGTGTGTGTGTGTGTGGTGTGTGTATTCACCATCCAGCAGCTCGTAGATCAGAACAAAGTTGTTCTTGACGTTCTCCTCGCTGATCTTGCCGAAGTAGGCGGCCATGACGTCACACATCTTGTAGAGGAACTCGAACACCATGGTGGCGTTGACGTTCTGCTTGGTGACGGCAGCCAGCCAGATGTTGGAGCGTTTGACGTGGAAGAAGCTGGTGCGGGCGATGTTGGTGACCGGGGAGCGGACCTGCTGCCGGGCGTGGATCACATTCACTCGAAATGCATCCACGGCATTTCTTCTGCAGAGAGAGAGACACGTTTCCATGGTGACAGACATCAGCTGTAAGAGACACTGAGAGAGAGAGACTGAGAGACACTGAGAGAGACACTGAGAGAGAGAGACACTGAGAGAGAGACACTGAGAGAGACACTGAGAGAGAGAGACACTGAGAGAGAGACACTGAGAGAGAGACACTGAGAGAGAGACACTGAGAGAGAGACACTGAGAGAGACACTGAGAGAGAGAGACACTGAGAGAGAGACACTGAGAGAGACACTGAGAGAGAGAGACACTGAGAGAGAGACACTGAGAGAGAGACACTGAGAGAGAGACACTGAGAGAGAGACACTGAGAGAGACACTGAGAGAGAGAGACACTGAGAGAGAGACACTGAGAGAGAGAGACACTGAGAGAGAGACACTGAGAGAGAGAGACACTGAGAGAGAGAGACACTGAGAGAGACACTGAGAGAGAGAGACTGAGAGACACTGAGAGAGACACTGAGAGAGAGAGACACTGAGAGAGAGACACTGAGAGAGACACTGAGAGAGAGAGACAACTGAGAGAGAGACACTGAGAGAGAGAGACACTGAGAGAGAGAGACACTGAGAGAGACACTGAGAGAGAGAGACACTGAGAGAGAGACACTGAGAGAGAGAGACACTGAGAGAGAGAGACACTGAGAGAGACACTGAGAGAGAGACACTGAGAGAGAGACACTGACAGACACTGAGAGAGAGACACTGAGAGAGAGACTGAGAGACACTGAGAGAGAGACACTGAGGGAGAGACTGAGAGACACTGAGAGAGAGACTGAGAGAGACACTGAGAGACACTGAGAGAGAGACACTGAGGGAGAGACTGAGAGACACTGAGAGAGAGAGACACTGAGAGAGAGACACTGAGAGAGACACTGAGAGAGAGACACTGAGAGAGACACTGACAGACACTGAGAGAGAGACACTGAGAGAGAGACTGAGAGACACTGAGAGAGAGACACTGAGGGAGAGACTGAGAGACACTGAGAGAGAGACTGAGAGAGACACTGAGAGACACTGAGAGAGAGACACTGAGGGAGAGACTGAGAGACACTGAGAGAGAGACTGAGAGAGACACTGAGAGAGAGACACTGACAGACACTGAGAGAGAGACACTGAGAGAGAGACTGAGAGACACTGAGAGAGAGACACTGAGAGACACTGAGAGAGAGACACTGAGAGACACTGAGAGAGAGACTGAGAGAGACACTGAGAGACACTGAGAGAGAGACTGAGAGAGACACTGAGAGACACTGAGAGAGAGACACTGACAGACACTGAGAGAGAGACACTGAGAGAGAGACTGAGAGACACTGAGAGAGAGACACTGAGAGAGAGACACTGAGAGAGAGACACTGAGAGACACTGAGAGAGAGACACTGAGAGAGAGACACTGAGGGAGAGACTGAGAGACACTGAGAGAGAGACTGAGAGAGACACTGAGAGACACTGAGAGAGAGACACTGACAGACACTGAGAGAGAGACACTGAGAGAGAGACTGAGAGACACTGAGAGAGACACTGAGAGACACTGAGAGAGAGACACTGAGAGAGAGACACTGAGAGACACTGAGAGAGAGACACTGACAGACACTGAGAGAGAGAGAGACACTGAGAGAGACACTGAGAGACACTGAGAGAGAGACTAAGAGAGACACTGAGAGAGAGACACAGAGAGAGACACTGAGAGAGAGAGAGACACTAGAGAGAGACACTGAGAGAGAGACACTGAGAGAGAGACACTGAAAGAGACTGAGAGAGACTGAGAGAGACACTGAGAGAGAGAGTGAGAGACACTGAGAGACACTGAGAGAGAGACACTGAGAGAGAGACACTGACAGACACTGAGAGAGAGAGAGAGACACTGAGAGAGAGACACTGACAGACACTGAGAGAGAGACTGAGAGAGAGACACTGAGAGAGAGACTGAGAGACACTGAAAGAGAGACACTGAGAGACACTGAGAGAGAGACACCGAGAGAGAGACACTGAGAGAGAGACACTGAGAGAGAGACTGAGAGACACTGAGAGAGAGACACTGAGAGACACTGAGAGAGAGACACTGAGAGAGAGACACTGAGAGACACAGAGAGAGACACTGACAGACACTGAGAGAGAGAGAGACACTGAGAGAGACACTGAGAGACACTGAGAGAGAGACTGAGAGAGACACTGAGAGAGAGACACTGAGAGAGAGAGAGACACTGAGAGAGAGACACTGAGAGACACTGAGAGAGAGACACTGAGAGAGAGACACTGAAAGAGAGACTGAGAGAGACTGAGAGAGACACTGAGAGAGAGAGTGAGAGACACTGAGAGACACTGAGAGAGAGACACTGAGAGAGAGACACGAGAGAGAGACGCTGAGAGAGAGACACTGAGAGACACTGAGAGAGAGACACTGAGAGACACTGAGAGACACTGAGAGAGACTGAGAGACACTGAGAGAGAGACACTGAGAGAGAGACACTGAGAGACACTGAGA